CACTCTCACTCTCCCTCTCCCTCTCCCTGCCGGACACAATAAGGATGAAGGATCTCAGCTAAGTGAATGGACTGTTCTAGCATTAATCCATAGACAGGACGTCCAGGGCCCCAGTCTCCATTTTATCAGCACAGCTGCAGAGAGCCAGCACCCTGATCCTGTAATATCACCTCCCCCCATGTGTTGACGGTGTCTCCTTGTGCACTTGCATGCTTCTGGTGTGGAGTCGAGGCTCGCTTGGTGCACACCTCCCATTCTGTCTTGTGCTTGTGTGGATTTGTGCCCTGTGCTGGCCTTCTGCTGCCATCAGGGGATTTAGCAGGCACACACAGCATGGAAAATGGCAGTTTTTTTTATAGAAACTATGTATTTGTTACCTAGTGTGTGATACTTGAGGATTAAAAAGTCAAAAGGTTTATTTTTTGTTTTGAAAAGTCCATCCTTGGTCTTATTTTTATCGCCCTCTTTGCCCTCCTCTTGTTTTTTCTTTGCATTGTGAAGTGGGCATGCTTGTCAAAAAGACAAAATGCTCTCTATTAATAGGCTTATAACCTCATAAATAGTTGTGTATAAAATAAACTGTTATAACTTCTTTTTTAATAAAACATTCAATGTGTATAAATGGTCTTTGTCTGAGGCTGATTCTCGTGTGTTGCAAATTTGTTTATAAAAGATTTTAGGACTTCACTGTAGAAAACATGAACAACAGCATATGTTGCGTATTTATATATGAACACATCTAATGTACATTTTCATCAAAATTATGATATTTTTTCATCTGTGAGGGTTTTTTTTCTCCTTTTCCTCGTTTCATACAAGCTGGAACCTGTGGATTCCTATCATCTGATAAGTATATGTCTAAATCTCCCTTTATGATACTATCTTTCAAAGAGCCAAATTCCAGATATGTTAGTAGGTGGAAATATCCTGATGTCCTTTAAAAATATTTAGAGTGAACAATTCCACTCCTCTCAAACTCACCAGTTATTCAGTAACCGAATCAATGACCGCATTAAAGTGAAAACTGATAATTACATTTCACTCAGCCAGTGTAGCAATGTTTTGAAATTGTACAGTTTGATTTACAGGTGTGCCTTAATGTAACATTTTACATTTTTAGACATGAGGAAAATTAGATGGCTCTATATACACTTTACACAAGAATTTAATACTTATATTACATAAATGTAAAATGTATTTTTTTTTCTGTTCTTTATTGCACATGACAATAAAACATTTGAATTTTAAATCTTAAAAAAAGACATTCTTTTAAATGCCACATATGCTGCACAATTTCCACACTTTGAATCTATATAAGAATATTGCATTTTGTGTTCGTCAGAGAAGTGGCCTGTAATAGCTGTGCTTCCACAAGGTGTCAGTGTGGCTCTACTCTCCTGTGTGGAGACTCCATGTCTCAGCCAGTACAATATGGGCCACTGTCTGGTATGATCCCTGTGAGTGCTGTGAAACTTGAGAATGAGGTTAGAACCCTGCTACTTCCAGTCTGAAACGGGGGTGATGAATGACTACAGCCATCCCAAACACACAGCACTGGCTACTAAGTTTTCCCCCAATGCCAACATTAAAACAATGTCTTTCGGCAGTAATTCTGTTATTGTAACCCGTGACATTGAATCACCGGTGTCTCAACCTTTCAAAGTACTGGTTGGGTTTATATAGCATTGCATAAGTCTTGTATACTGCAGTGATCTGTGCCAAATCTGCTAAGCATCTGAGCTTCTGACTGGGGTTTTATTTTGAAGGGGACATTGGACTGTGTGAGATTAACCTTGCTGTGAGGGCAGCATGCACAGGCAATGATAGATGCAGTTTTATAAGTGAGCCACGTGAGGGCGCTGCATTGTCCATCCTCTTCTATCCTCAGCTGAAACCCCCTCTGTATAATCACAGCAGGGGAAAATAAATGCTGTGACATAAGGCTGTTTAATCCCCTTTCCTCTGAAAAATGTATTCTGTCACGCAGCAATCTGCCCACTCTTCCTGTCTGTCTTTATTTCTGTGGCAGCGCTGAGACATGAAATTACTCCCCAGTTTGATATTTCTTCTTGTGTTTGGCTAAATGATCACCGTGCTTATGCTTGTTTGATTGTAGATTGTGATAAACTGAGGAGGCCAAAGTTCAGTCTGCCTGGTCCACATTAAACCATTGTCCTTTCTCTATGTCTCGAATGTTTTCTCAAACCCCCCAATAGGATAGAAAGGAAAGAGTGAAGTGAAGAAAAAAAGTACTGTCAGAGGATATGTTTATCCTACATTGTTATTCCTTAACAAATGTAATATAATTTAAATGCTAGAGATGTTCTTCTGTTTTCCTAATATTTCGATTCAGAGTATTGAAGACCAGATTTACTTGGTATTGTTGGGGATCCTTGATTCGCAGATTTTTCAGGTCAGCATTTATTCAGTGAATTCTGCTCCAACATAGTTAAACAGAAATAGGTTTCAGGATTAGCAATGCTGTTCATACCAAATTCCTACCCTACCTAGGTTATGTAACTTAAAAAATAATAACATCAGACAGTTTTTGCCTCTTTTTAGATACAGAATAGGATGTAGGCTCCACAGTATGATTTTCTTTTATCATGTTTTTCTATAATGTTGCATAGAATTTTTAGGAATTCTATTATCTGAACGGACTTGAAAAATAGTGCATATAGTTGCTGTAAGTGGGGGAAAAAAATCTCCCTAGGTGGGCCCAACCCAAGACCCCCAAATGTTTACAATGTCTGTCTCTGCCCCTGCTGTCATATACACAAAAAAGACAAAATACCAAGAACACCTTCAAATGTAATGCAGTTTCTACATTAAATTACCAGAATAAGTGTGTTTGATCTTTCTTGACATTGGATTAAATTTCCTTGCAGTAGGCCTATATAATTAGGTACTCTTCCTCTATACACACCTCTATCTCTGTATACTGTAGGCCTACATCCTGTGCCAGGCCACAAGCTCCAGCGTGTCCAGATCAGAGCCCTAGAGGGTCTTCAGGCCGGGGCCAGGAATGTCAGTCAGGTGATCAATGCGTGCATGTGTTCCTACAAAAGGCCTGCAAGACAAGTGAATGATTCTGCAGATTAGAGATGGCTCATATAAGGGAAGACTTGTCTCTGATTCACCAGACTGTGGGCTACAGATTAAAGGAGCCCTTGCCAAAAATCTGAAGTCTCAATTCCAAGCAGGGTTAGTCCAGTACTACTGATTATGACAAGAAAACCAACCTTTATTTTGTAGAATTGTTGTTCCCCTCAAACAAGGTATACAAGGAGTACTAGAGCATTATGTTTAATAAATAGCATCCAAGCAGGCACAAGTCAGAGCAGCATGTTGGAAATATGTGAGAGCAACCTTATAGTCGGTGTACTTCATTCAAGTCCCATGGTTGACTCTGTCAGCTGAAAAAAATCCATCCCGCTGTTTTTACCCTGCTATCCCTTCTCCTGCATCAAAAGAGGAGAAGGAGGGAGGGAGGGAGGGAGGGAGGAGAGGACGAGGCTATCTGTCTCTTCACAGTTCCTGACCTCCAGAAGTCCAGCAACCTGAGAATCTCAATGAAATATTTAAAGCTTCTGTTTTATCCGCAGTGCGTTGGTCAAGACAAACTGTGGGCCTCCATGACGTAATGCCGGCTGCCTGATTGGTCCTCACTGAGTAGGGTGGTCAGGTGACCTGCGCCGCTGTGGCCTTTTAAGGCATTATGATGCCCCGAGGCTCCACATTAGGCTCATATGCTGTCAGCTGCGAGTTATGATCAATCACTGTTGGCTGCAGCATTTTCCATAGCAAAGCTTTTAGCAGTATGTGTACATTCTTTAATGAAAGCCCCTCAGAGCTCAGTTCATACTCATCTAAGTTTAGAAAACAGTCAGTATGACTGTTGGGATATTCTA